GTGCAGGTTGTGAGTTCAATCTTGGTTGGGTGAGTGCAGGTGGCAACCAACAGATGCTTCACTCTTGAATTGATGTTTTTCTCTCTCTTTCCATCTCCCTTCCTTTCTCTAAAATCAATAAGAGCATTACTCAGGAAAGAATTTAAAAAAAAAATTACACAGGAAAAAAGGAATTGTGATATTTATATAAAACTAACACAGAGTTATCTGTTGGTTACATGATTTAGAGTGTTATTATTTCTTCTTTCTAATTCTTGAAGTTTACAAAATTCCTATAGTTATTTTTATTACTTTTAAAGTAAAAAAAATACAATTGAAAAAGAAAAAAAAGAAGAGAAAATGGCATCCCTTTATCAGTTCTCTGGGGCACAGAAGATGTGCAGGCAGAATGCAGCTTTTCTGGAAGGAGGAAGTGAGCATCTGGGTATTATATTTGCAGATGGACTTCATATAAAGCATATGGTAGATTTTCTCAAGGAAAATTGTTGCTGTAGAAGCACAAGTTGCTATTTAAACCTCGGCAGACTAGGGCTTTCTAATTCTTGAGTTTTTTCTTTCCAATATGTGAATTAGGCATCTGCTCAGATTTTCTTAAGGAGTTTCCCCATTATTGAAATTCCTCTTCTTCTTTGTAAATACTGTATATTATAGAATGTGAAACTTTGATAGCTTGAATAGTCAAGAGGGGGGGTAATTTTTTAACTTTTCCTTTAGGGCTATTCATTTTTTTTTCTTTTTGCTCCCTAAGTTGCCAAATATGTTAAACAAGTGCAAAGGAAAACAAAACACACACAAAAACGCCATGAACCAATATGAAGATATTCACAACATCAAGCAGGCATAACACCAATTCAGAATAACAAGCAACTTCATTCTCAATTTATCAGAGGTTATATAGCTCGAGAAATCACAAGTACTTTTCATGGAAAGTAAATGGCTTTATAAAGGTCAACCAGAATTTGTCAACTTTATTGTATCTTTTCTGTTCTTTCTTTGGGTATATATAAGGAACACAACAGTGTTGTGTGTGTGTGTGTGTGTGTGTGTGTGTGTGTATGTGTGTGTGTGTGTGTGTGTGTGTGTGTCTATTTTTTAAATCTCTTTTCTGCAACAGGACTAGATAGAGCAATTGCTTTACTCCAGTAAGTTGTTTGGATAAGCTGTAGGTCCATTTTTAACAATAAACATGCCTTCAGTGGCTCAAACTAAGAAATAGACATGAGGTGTGCAGCACAGTGTGAGGCAGACAAAGGAGAACGACAAATATTTACCCAGGGAAAACAATGATAGATGCCAACGGTATTGCAGAATTGTCTTCACTACAGATAATTGCCCCTTTACATTTAGGGTTTTCACTCAAAGCTTTAGGAGAAACTCTCTTCCCCAAAGAAATCTGGCCCCTTCCATTTCCCATCCTGCTTTGGCAACAAAAATATGGAACTCAGTTAGTGCTTATGGTCCCCCAGGGGATATTTTACAAAACATTAGCAACTCTAATGGTTTTCATTACTTAATGATTTCTAACATTAGGTATCTGAATGATAGCAAAAGCAAAGTTTAGAAAGCTTAACAACTCTCAGGCTGCATATTGGGACTGACTTTAATCATTTTCTTATTCTCTTTCTCCTATTTTGCAACAAAATATTTTACAATCAAAAGATCAGGGCTCAAAGATTTAAAGGCAGGGGTGACTGTGGGTGAGTGGGTGGGAAGAGATCAATCAAAGTACTTGTATGCATATATGCATAAGCCATGGACACAGACAATAGGGTGTTGAAGGCCTGGGGTGGAGTATAGGGGCAAACTATAAAGGGATCAATGGGAGAAAAAAAGGGACATATGTAATACTTTCAACAATAAAGATTTTTAAAATAATTGTATTGTTTTGAGCAATTAGCTTCTCTCAGCCTTAAAGTCTCATATTTGTAAAATAAAATGGTGGGGCAAATAAACTCTGATGACCCTCCTGACTTTAATATCTATACTTATAATAGGGTAATATACAAATTAGCCTGGTTGCGGTCACGTAATGACTGATCAGCAGGAGGACGAGGTAGCAAACTATGAGCATCAAAGAGCCACAGGAGTGTGGGGCAGGGAGCTATGAGTGGCAGAGAGACATGCACAGTGGTGTGTGGGGCGGCCAGCTGAGACAAGAGGCAGTGAGCTACTCGTGCGTGAATTCGTGCACAGGGCCACTAGTTCAATGATAAAGATGTATTTTCTCTGGAGAGCACTTTGCACCCTCCATTAAAAGAATACAGAAATTTATAAAGTCATGGCAACCACTTTCTGCCTCTAAGTTTGTTTGGAGAAGAGATTGACATATTTCAGCCCTCGGGTAAAATCTGGCCAGCCACTGTTTCTGTGGATCACATTTTATAAGAATACAGCCATACCTATTTGCTTATTGACTATGGCTGCTTTCAGGCTACATTGGTAAAGTACTTAACCAGCCATCATCTGGTATGCAAAGCTAACAATATTCACTAGCTGGCTTTTTATAGAGTCAGACAATCCCTAGTTTAGAAGCTTCCTCAAAGGCCAAAGACTTTCTTGACCCCTACATGTAGTTGGGACCTGACACGTAAGTCCAGGTTGGAATGCAAGAGATGGGCACACACAGACAAAGATACATGCTCTCTCAGCCACTTCACATCCTGCTCACTCCTCAGGACAGACACTCCCCACCCACTTCAATTGAGCAATACCAATATTTGTATCCTTTACATTAGAAGACAAGCTTTCATTGGCACCATACAACTATATGAGGCCAAATCAGTGGTTCTCAACCTTTCTAATGCCGCAACCCTTTAATACAGTTCCTCATGTTGTAGTGACCCTCAACCATAAAATTAATTTCATTGCTACTTCATAACTATAATTTTGCTACTGTTAATGAACAGTAATATAAATATCTGTGTTTTCCGATGGTCTTAAGCTCTACAGCAGCAGTTCTCAACCTGTGGGTCATAACCCACAGGTTGAGAACCACTAGCAGGGTCACCTAAGAGCATCGGAAAATACATATATTTACATTACTATTCATAACAGTAGCAAAATTACAGTTATGAAGTAGCAACAAAAATAATTTTATGGCTAGGGGTCACCACAACATGAGGAACTGTATTAGAGGGGTGCGGCATTAGAAAGGTTGAAAACCACTGGGCCAAATGATTGTTTTCATCATCTTGAAATATTGTTCTCAGTTCTCCTTGCTGTGGACATTTTCATCTCTGAACAGTAGTCAAATGTTTTGGTTGCTCACTGATGTTTTTGAGAATCTGATAAAAGCCATGGGCCCCAGGAAAATGTGCTTGTATAATTTAAACAACATTTCACATCCAATTTTCTTGGTGGGGGTTGGATCACATTAGCACAAGACTTAAGAACACAGAACCACCATAACTTCTAAATGAAATAATTTGTACAATATTCTCACCATAGAGGCTAATGCTACTATATAGCATTGAAAGCATCATAAAGAATATCAGGTGAGGAACCAAAAGAACAATTTCATGCCTTGTCTCTGCTGCTACTAACTAGATATAACAGGCCACTGAAGCACTCCATGCTTTATGTCCATTTATTAATTAGTGAAAATAATTGATATCCTGCCTACTCATGGGCTGTGATAAGAATCAAATGAGGTATAAAGAGTAAGAGAAAATTTAATAAACCACATAACGCTTCCCATTTGAGTGGTGAGAAATATGACAGCCCATTTCACTGGAGGGAACAAAGGACCACAGGAGCTTTGTATTCAAAGTGTGATTCTCAGGCCAGCAGCATCAGCATCACCTAGAAGCTGGCCAGGCATGCAGATCCTCAGGCCTCTCCTCAGACTAAGCAAATCAGAATCTGCATTTTAACGGGGCTCACAGTAGATCTATGTGAAGGTCAAGCTTGAGGAACATGACCATGGAAAGGTCTCTCTGCAAAGTACCAACCATGGTGTAAGGCTGACCTCCTTCATTAAAGGCAACTGGGGCTTTGCAAAGTCAAGATGCAAAGAGATGAAAGCAAACAGATGTTAGATTTTAGAAGTGTTTCCTGAACAAGTCTGTGCTCATGGTGCTCGGGGCCTAGTGAAACTAAGACAAATCCTTACATAAACACAACATGCTGTGGGATGCTCTCCAACAGCTAGACCAGGTCGCTGCAATCCACAAAGAGCCGCTCTGTCACTGTGAGGTCATGGAATCATTGTCAGGGCAAGCTGTAGATTTCTATAGCTTCCTTTTATCTGAAAAATTGCCATATGAGAAGAAGCACATAGGTTTCCCAGTATTATCTCATTGATAGAGTAAAATTAGTAATAATTACGTAGGCTTTCTTGATTAGACTCCCTACCAGTACCACTTCTGCCTCTAAATTAGAAGTTTTAGAAAATAATAGGATCAGGGACATGTGGAGAGAGGAACAAAGAATGACTGGGGATACTTAAAAGAACAAAACAAACCTGCCACTGACAGTATAATGAAGAACCCAAATTGAGGGAGTATATCTGGGAAATTAGGGTTTTTTTGGATGACAGTAAAAATAGGAATTTCGGGGTGAAATAGGCAGGTTTGGGGGATTTTTAACATCAAAGATGTCCATGGAAAAAGTGCAGGCTGCAGAGCTGCAAAGGGTTACATGTCCATAAGACAAAGGAGTTGGGAGAGGCAGCAGTTACATTTCCATAAGAACTGGAGGTAGCAAAAGGTCTATCTTTACAAAATAAAGGAGAAAGAAAGCCCAGAGGAAATAAGAGAACAATGAGGGAGGAGGGCCTCACATGTCCCTTGTGAGGTTTTGACCTTTGAGCTCAGGAGTTACTATAGTGACCAAATCAAAGGGGAATAGCTACCAATCAGAGGGGATATCAAGGCACAAAAAATTGCAGCCTTTATAAAGGGGGAGGAGAGGGAAGAGGAGAGGTGGAGAAGGAGCTCAATGGGACTCTTTCTCCCTCCCTACCTAAAGTCTGTTCTGTGGGACTCTTTCCATGTGGGGAGGGGAGTCTGTGCTTGTTTCTCAATAAATTTCCACTTTGCTATACCACCTTTCATCCATGGTTTCATTCTTCAAGTCCACCAGACAAGAGCCTGGGAACCATCCTGCCCAGAGGAACATCAAAAATCCCCTATCAATAGAGGAAGACACCCTCTTTCCACCTTTCCATTCTTTGCATTGAGGTGTAACTTGCCAGGTTAGGAAGGCAGGAGTAGGGATGAGAAGGAAGGGAGATGAAATAACAAGTTTTAATGGAAAGAAAGGGGAAATGGATTGGGGCTTATACAATTAGGATCTTCTGATCTAGTAAGATCATGGGACATTCTCCATGGTACCTGGATTTGGGGCAACTGTCCTATTGAGATACAGAGGCAGGCACCAGAGTGCCACTCAGAGGGTAGAAACAAAGAGTAGATTGGCAGGTTTTGCCTCAGGTTTAAAGAAAGCCAGGTTCTGGATTATCTACTTCAGACCACCACGTTGAAGGAACAATAGGGGTCCAGAGTAGAATCTGTGTCTAGAGGTACAGTTGCTCTTATCTTTCATCTCTTAGAACCCTGGACATGGTGGATGGAAATAGAAAATAAGTCAATAGATGCTAACATAGAAACAGAGTGGAGTGTCAATGGGGGAAATATCTGTAATACCTTCAACAATAAAGATAAAGTTTAAAATATGATAACCTTGAAGCTGCTGTTGCTGCTCACTCTGGGGGTACAATAGAGAGGGCAGAGTTTGGAATAAAAGAAGCCTGGTTTTGAACCCCCATTCTGCTATTCACCATTACTATGTGACATCATGTATGCTATTAACTTCTCTGAGCTTCATCTGAAGACTACAAATTATTGTCACATATCACAAAACGTTATTATAACAGTTAATAATGAAATAATGAGTATGAAGTGTTGACAAACTGTGTATGCATTTATTCCTCCTCCTTTTGTACTCAGGCTCGGTTTGTTAGTCCATACTTACAGTCAGTACCCACTGGGTACTGAGTTATTACATAAAGATTCACTTAGGATCCTCAGTTACAACAGATTTAGTATATATACAAAGTGTCCCTCCCAAAAAAATGTATATACACTTTAACAGCTGATAGTTCGATTTTGAAAATGAAATGTATTAATAAACACTGCCTTTATAATTATTCAAAATGTGTGTATACATTTTTTGGCACACTCTAAATACAATGGAATATTACTCAGACATAAGAGGGGATAAAATACTGCCATATACAACAGTATGGATGGATCTTGAGAATATCATTCAAAGCGAAATAAGTCATAAAGTTAAGAGCCAAATGATTTCACTATATGGGATATAAAATTGCAAACAACAAATGAACAAACAAAAACTCATAGAGACAGACAACAGTGGGTTCGTTACCAGAGGAAAGGGGGATAGAGAAGTAGAAAAGGATAAAGGGGGTCACATATATGGAGATGGAAGAAGATTCGACTTTGGGTGGTGGGCACACAGTGCAATAGACAGATAAAGCACTGCACATTTGAAACCTGTATATTTATTAACCACTGTCACCTGGATAAGTTTATTACCACACACACACACACACACACACACTGACAAAGGTAAGAAAAATAATGTTTCCATGTGAGTGCTCCAGCCCTGGTTGTCCTCATATCACCCTTCAGGTTTCATTATCCAACAACAGTATCAGCCTGCCCGGAGATCACCTGGTGTGAATGGAAAAGCCATCGGAGGCTTTCATGTAATTATGCACACAGTTGCTGTAGACCTCGGGGGCCCCATTGGCCCGCTAATAACGAAGGAGTCTGGGAAGTCTGTGCCTTCCCAAATTACAGCAGTGGCAGGCTGTGGACTCTCCCCAGTAACAGATGGTTTTATTAGTGGCCACGGCCAGACACTTGGCTGAGGACTGAGCGCATGCCATTAGCGTCTGTTCCACTTTGGTGGAGCAGGAGCACAAGGAACGCTGGGTTCGAAAGTAATTGACAGCGAGGGAGACAATGTGTTCTCGTGTCACCTGGGGCAAAAACGAACTGCAATGGGGGAAAAAAGGTCCTTTCCTTGAGCTACGAAAACAGAAAAGATAAGCTCACGTAATTGTGTTCTTTCCATGGATGAGTAAGGTATGGGACAAATGAAGCAGGGAGAAAGATGTCCACAGGTACCTGGCACTCAGGGCATCTGTGGGAAGAAATTTCGACTCTGGTTAGCTGGCAAACCAATGAAAACAAAACGAAACTTTTCTTCACCTACCATTTTCTACAATTACAGGCACACAAATATGGTGAATATGTGACTATTCAACAGCATGCCATAAGAAAAAAAAAATGCTCCATTTTCTTTTCTTTAAAAAAAATAATATATTTATTTCAAAGAGGCTGGGGGAGGGAAAGCGGGATAGAAACCTCCATGATGAGAGAGAATCATTGATTGGCTGTCTCTTGAATGCCCCACACTGGGGTTAGAGCCCACAACCCAGGCCTGTGTCCTGATGGGGAATGGAACTGTTACCTCCTGGTTCATAGGTCTATGCTCAACCACGGAGCCACGCTAGCTGTGCAGACATGCTCCATTTTCAATGGCAAGCATACAATATTCTTTGTAACCAAAACAAAGGGAAATAAATATTTAAAACCAGGAAAGCAAAATCTGGTCGTTAGCTATGAACACAAGTATTTAAGTATTTAAAAGATCTAGGAATGTATGGCCACCCGTTCAAGCAGAAGTAGATTTGCAGCACGAGCATCCTTGCAAAGCCCGGCTAGCACTCAGCTTCTTCTCCCACTAGGCATCCGGATAGACGTACTGTCACCAGCTGCTTTGTTTAGCTTTTACTTTTTAATCAAGTTCTAGTAGATTTCCCTAGTTCTTTGGAGCTCTCAGAGTCAGAGTGCATTAGAGAACTTCACTGCAGTGAAATCTCTCCATCCATCTTAGTTTTCTATTGCTGGCTGACAAATTACCCCACAATAAGCAGCTTAAAACAAGGCAAATTCATTATCTCACAGTTACGTGGGTAGGACTCCGGGCACAGGTGAGCTGTTTCCTCTGCTTATGGCCACACTAGGCTGCCATGGAGACATTGCCTAGGCCTGCTTATCTCCTCCGAGGCTCAGGATCTGCTTCCAAGCCCACGGGTGGTCAGCAGGATTCATAACCTTAGGTCTGTACAGCTGAGGCCCCCATTTTCTTGCTGCCTCTTGATTAGTGGCCACTTTAAGCACCAAGAGGCTCTCCGTGGGTCCTTGCTGCATGCCCCTTCTCTTACAATATGGCAGTTTGCTGGTACTTCTTCAAAGCTAGCAGGGGACAATCTGCTACAGCAACTTGATTTGTTAAATGGGTCAACTAAATCGGTCAGGCCCACCCAAGGTAATCTCTTTTTTCATTGACTCCAATCAATTAATCAGGGACCTCAGTTACATCTGTAACACTCAACTTTGCCACCTAATGTAACCTACCCATGGAGTGCATCTTATTCATTGTATTCACAGGTTTTGCTACCACTCAAGGAAAGGAGATCACACAAGGCATGCCCATGAGGTGGTGGGACCTTGGGGCTATTTATTTTATTTTTCAGAGAGGAAAGGAGAGGGAGATAGAAACATCAATGATGAGAGAGTATCATTAATCAGCTACCTCCTGCCCGCCCCCTAGTGAGGATCAAGCCCGCAACCCAGGCATGTGCCCTAGACTGGAATGGAACCCAGGACCTTTCAGTCCATAGGCTGATGCCCTATCCACTGAGCCAAACCAGCTAGGGCCTTTGATTTCTGTGTGATAGACTATTTTTTAAGCTGAGGCAAAATTTGCAAAAGATAAAATTATTTTACAGTGTACAAGTCAGTGGAATTTAGTACAGTCTCAATGCTGTGCAACTATCATCTCTATCTATTTCCAAAATATTTTCATCATCCCTAGGGGAACCTCATACCATTAAGTAGTCACTCCCCATTAACCCTCTCCACCTGGCCCCTGGCCACCACTAATCTGCTTTCTATCTTTGTAAATTGACTCATTCAGGATATTTTTATATAAATGGAATAATTAAGTATATGATCTTTTGTGTTTGGCTTCTAACAGTTGCTGGACATTTGGGCTGTTTCCATCTTTTGGTGATTGAGACTAGTGCTGCCATAAACATCTCTATATAAGTTTTTGAACATCTGTTATCAATTCTTTTGGATATATATCTAAGAGTGGAATTTCTGGATCATATGGGAAATGGTGAACTATTTTGCACAGAGTCTCCACCATTTTACATTCCTATCAGCAATATGTGAGTGTTTCAGTTACTTTACATCCTCACCAACACTTATTCCAGGTTGTTTTTTGTTTTTAATTATAGCCATTTCAGTGAATGTAATGGGATGTTCATTGTATTTTGATTAACATTTCACTGATGGTTAGCAATATTAACATCTCTTCGTGTGCTTTTTGACCACTTTTTTATCTTTTTTTAAAAATAAATTTTATTGATTTTTTACAGAGAGGAAGGGAAAGAGATAGAGAGCTAGAAACGTCGATAAGAGAGAAACATCTACCAGCTGCCTCTTGCACACCCCCTACTGGGGATGTGCCCACAACCAAGGTACATGCCCTTGACCGGAATCGAACCCGGGACCTTTCAGTCTGCAGACCGATGCTCTACCACTGAGCCAAACCGGTTTCCGCAGACCACTTTTATATCTTTAGAAAAATGTCTAAGAAACAATTCCATTTTTTCATTTCTTAAGTGAGCTTTCTTTTTGTTATTGAGCTGTAAGAGACCTTAATCAGTTGTCCCAGAAATATTTGTTGAAGAGACTGTTATTTTCTTATAAAATAGTGCACTTCTTTTAATGAAAATGAACTGGTCAGTGACTTATGGGTTAATCTCTAAACTCTCTACTCTAATCCACTTATCTATATGTCTATTCTCTTTTAATTTTTCTAAATATACTTTATTAAATTTTTTACAGAGAGGAAGGAAGAGGGATAGAGAGTTAGAAACATCAATGAGAGAAAAACATTGATCACCTGCCTTCTGCACTCCCTCTACTGTGGGGGTGTCCACAACCAAGGTGCATGCCCTTGACCAGATTCAAACCTGAGACCCTTCAGTCTGCAAGCCAATGCTTTA